GAGAAGCAGGCTTCCTGCCGAGCAGGGAGCCTGATGTGGGGCTCAATCGCAGGACCCTGGGATCATGACCTGAGCCGAAGGCAGACAGATGCTCAACGACTGACTGAGCCACCCAGGCACCCCTGGCATAATGTTTTTGAGGTTCATTCATATTGTAGCATTTATCAATGCTTCATTTCTTTTTATGGCTGAATAATATTCCATTGTATGAATAGAACATGTTTTATTTCTCCATTTATCTGCTGATGGACATTTGGATAGTTTCCACCTTTTGGCTAGCATGAGCAGTGCTGCTATGAGCATTTGCATACAAGTATTTGTTGGAATCGTATGTTTTTGTGTATTAGCGAAATTAGTCTTTGGCCTGTAATAGGTGTTGCAAATATTGTACTTCAGTTTGCAGTTTGTCTTTCACCTTGTTTTATGGTGGTTTTGACCAGGCAGAATCTTGAAAAAATTGTTATGCAGTTGATTCTGTCAGGCTTTTATGGCTTACGGGTTTTGTGACACAGGAAAGCCGTCCTCATAGTTGAGGTTATAAAATAATTCTCCCATCAGAGCTGCCACTTATACACTCATTTCCTCAAATGGGATTAAAAACAGGCCACTTGCACTGTCCCCCTGGGGTTATTGTGAGGCCCAAATAAGATAAGCGATATGAAAGGGCTTTATAAAATATGAACCAGCATATACATGCACGGTATGTTGTCATTGCCACTATTAATTGTATGCAGTCCTGGCACTAACTAGCTGAGTTCTGTGGTTGCTTTTGTTTTGCAGAGCAGAGACTGAAGGGCAGAATTTTTCACTGAGCCAGCCAAGGATGCAGTAGTTGGTGGCATTGGAGAATGTCACAGAAGATATCAACTCTTACTAGTCATCTTGGGAGGGTTTCATATTTGACCAAAAAGTCCCCACAAACATTGCCTTAAACCCAAAACTTTTCTGGTCATTCTTCCTCCGAGTAGAGTCTTTTTTTTTTTTTTTCCTACCAGGAAAAGAAACCAGTTTAGTGAGTTTTGTGTTATTCAGCTATAATTGTGACTTGAGCCTCATCAATGGCCATTTTGAAATGTTTTCCTTATGTTTTTAAACCTAAATTCTTTTTTTTTTTAATGGCAAACTTTAGCTTGAACACTGTATTGGTTGAGAAAAAAAGTCAATACTTGACAGTGATTGTCACAACATTGTCACTACCATGATCGTTCTGATATAGAACTTGCAGTGGTTAAGTTCTCGGGCTCCCATATCAGTCAGACGTGGGTTTGAATACGATTCTGTTAGTAGCTAGTTGTGTGATATTGGAAATTGCTTCATTGCTCTGTGCCTCTGTTTCCCTATCTGTAAAACAAGGATGATTACAGAACCTGACCCATTGGGTTGTAGCAAGAAGTCAATGATAAAAACTATATAATATACGTGGCCCTGATGGAAGGCTTGATAAATACTAGCTATTAGGATAATTCAGGAATAGCTAAAAGAATTTAGGAAATGAGCCCGAGGTAAATGGAATATACTCTTCCGGGGGGTATTCCCATTCTTGGGGGGTTGGCACAGATCACATGACATATTAGAGCCCCTTGCCCTGCCACGTACCACACTTATTTTTGGAGAAATCTGATTTCTCTTACTACCTTGTGAAGGGTAACCATCAGGAATGGCAGTTGGTTCTCATATAACAAGGAAGAAGTGACCATGCGGAGGAGTGTTGCAGAAGGGCAGCTGGGAGGCCAGTGAGCCCTGGGGAGGATTGGAAGGAAAAAGTCGAGGGCATCATACCAGAGGGCCTGCCCGGGTCATACCACCTCTTCCCGGGGAAGGAAGATTCTGGGTGATGTGGTTTCACCGTGTGTGGTGATGTATTTGCAGGGGACATAACGGTTGTCTTATTTTTTCCTCTCTTTCTGCTCTTGACCCAGGGATCTGTGGAGCCCCAACTCTGATCCTGGGCCCAGCGTGTTTGGGCCCTAAAAAAGAAGTAACATTTGTGGGACCTCTAGCTATGTGCCAGGCACTTTAAGTTCATGAACACCTTGGATTCTGTGCTATGAGTAACATCACCACCATTTCACAGACGAGGAAACTGGAGTGAGGCTCAGTGAAGGCACAGAAGCGACTTAGGGCCCCCCACAAGCTGGTAAGTGGCAGAATCGGAATTTTAATCACCATCTGTCTTACACCAAAATCCAGCTCTTTTGCTGCTCAGCACGTAGCTCTATACCATACTACACTTCAGTTTCTAGAGCCTTTTGTGACATTTCTGTGGCTCAGTGCCCTACACATGGGTCTCCCAGAAATATTTGTGGATTCAAAATTTTAGTAACGATGAGAATAGCTGACGCTTACTAGTTCCTGCCTTTGACAGGTTAAGTCACTCGCGCCGTTTCTCAGAACTACAGTGGCAGAGCCAGGCAGGGAATCTGGTCTGTCATATCTCAAGGTGTGCCGCACTTACCTTTTTTCCTCTGAGGGTCTATCCTTGAGGCAGGGATGCTGATCTCTGGGCACATCATTCTCAGGTAACATGGATGGCTTTTGTTGTTTTAAACTGGTCCTGAGGGGGACCTCCGAGGGACTGAGCCTGCCCCTGAGAAGGGTGAAGCAGGAGGGTGATGGCACTGGCTGTGGGACAGTACTTACCAACTCTGTGACCTCCTATCTGGGGACGTGAAGCTGTAATAAGCCCTGTGATTCACAGCCAGACTTCTCCCTGTGCTTTCTCCAAGCAGATCCTATGCCTTCCCATCTATAGGCTTAGCTCAGACTGTTTGCTGCACAGGAATATCCCGTCTCCTCCTGACCCCCGGCCCCATGCCTGTCTGAGGAGACCCATTACAACTGCCACCTTCTCTGGGAAGCCTCAATGGACAGCCATGGATTCATTTCTGAACCCAAATCCAATCATTTATTATGCACTCTGAAATAGGCAAATGGGAGACTATTTTGAGAAATTTGTGAAAATACCAAACTGAGGGGATAAACATATTAATGACAACCTTAATATGTGTAATTCCCATGCTCAGAAACCCTATAGTGTTTGATTTCATTTTTTGTAAAACAAATCTTACTCTACCGAAGAGCATGTGAAATGGGTTTAATCTCTTTAGCAGAATGCAGGATACTTGAGCATTTGCATGGCCAAAATCTGGTGTCAGATAGCCTATGTTTGAATGCTGGTGACCTTGGGTAAGTCCCTTTCCATATCTCTGCCTCTCTTCCTTCATCTGTGAAAGAGGGGTGCTTTTACTATGTTGTTGGGTTTTTTGGGGGAGGATATCATGGGGTAATAATAATTGCTACCATTTATTGAGTGCTTACTATGTGCCCAGCACCGTGCTAAGCTTAGCTTTACATTCTTATTTGATCCTCCCAAGAGCTCCCTCATTCTTGAAGTCCCTTACCCAGCAATATTTTCTTCCCCATAGCAAGGGTCTTCTTCTACCATATTGTAACATTTACTCATTTTGTTTATTTTTCATCTTCCTCTTCCAGGGCCTCTTGCCTTGCATGACTCCAGGAGGCACCATTCACTGTGCATTCTGAATTCGGCCTTTACCGAGAATATGAACGTGACTGGTGGGAATTTCCCCAAGTTGTGTAATGTGGAGACCTGGAGCTCCAGGAGGACAGGGATCTATCTTTTCTTTTCTTTCTTTTTTTTTAAATGTGTGTGTGCTTATTTTGATCATTGCTGTATCCCTGTGTCCGGAACTATGCCTGATCTATAGTAAGCTTTCAATAAATATTTGTTGAAAGAATGAATTAAAAAGCCCTTAAAGAGAGCCCATTTTACTGGTGAGGAAACTGAGGCGCATTGAGTTATTGATTTGCCGAAAGCTCCAAGAGACACTGAGGCAGCTGGGTGTTGCCAGCATGCCTGCTCTCAACAGCTTTGCAAAGCTGCATGTCTGAAATGCCTGGCATTGTCCCTGCCAGCCCGCAGTTGCTCAACAAATATTAATGAACTTGCCTACATGGGTCAGCCTCTCTCCTTTGCTAGACAACCCCTACAGAGTAACAAACTGTCACATAGCTGTTGCTTTGAGAAATTAAATTAAATTGCAAGGTGCAAAGAAAAGGTGAACCTTTTGGAGTTTTTGGAAGACAAATTCCTAACCCGACTGCTAATGGAATTTGCAGGGGCCTCTCAGGCCTTTCCCACCCGATTCTTTTTCCTGCTGCCTTCCCTTTTGTGAGCGTTTCTTCCCCTTTTTGCTTGCAGTGAGTTCTGCTCTCCTGTAGGCTACAATGTGTCAGTTGTTATAAAATCCGGGAGGTGGAGCTTGGTGACGAGGTGGGTGGGGGAGCGCTCAGCCAGCCCTGCAGGGCGAGCAGTCCAGCCCTGGTTCACCCGAAGCTTAAGCCTTGCAGCAGGAGAACTTCCACCTCGCTCTCCTGGCTTTGATCCTCACTGTACATCAGACCAGAGGCTCCGAAGGGAGGGAGGATGCGAGATGACCGGCCCTTTGGCAACCTGACCATCTCCTTAGCAGAAAGCCAGCCGGGGACTGACTTCCCGACCAAGGAGGCGCCGTGCCTCTCGTGAATGTGTGTGTGTGTGTGTGTGTGGGTGGGTGGGTGAGCCGGTGTGAGTGAGTGAACGTGTGTGTATGTGTGTGTGCACAACAACACAGAGTGTGTGTCCGGATGAGTGTGTGAGTGCACGCGTGAGTGTGTTTGCGTGCATGTGTGTATGATCCCTCTTGGTTATTATTTCTGTGGAAGAAAAATCTTGAAAATCTGGGGCAGGTTACTGTGCTCCTAGGGTTGTAGTTCTTCTTTTGCAAGAAGAGCTGACCAGACCAAGCTACTAGAGACATTTTTTTTCGGCGAGTAAAGAGAATTTTCCTCCCGGATCGAGAGGGATTTTTTTCCCCCCCGGCTCTGCAGCCGAGTAAAAGAGATTAGTCCCTAAACCTGTGAAATCGACTAGAGCCGTGTGATTACCAGGGCTTGAGAGAGGACTTGGGAAGAAAAAGAGAAATAAATCAAACAGCTTGTCAGTGCCTTTGGCCACGTTGGAAGATGTCATCTCAAACTAAGTTCAAGAAAGACAAAGAGATCATTGCCGAATATGAAGCCCAAATAAAAGGTGAGATGCGGGCTGGGGAGTCATGCTTCCCCTCCCCTTTCCTTTTTCTCTTGCTTTGGCTTTCTTTTACCCTTTTCCTCCCTGCCATCACGAAATGTTGTTATGCATCAATAATCTTATTGTGAGTGGGAACAGTGGCAGCCGCACAAGTCCAGACTGGTTTCAACTGCAGAGAGCGCCGGCGCTGGGAGTATGGATTATAGAATGGGCAGCAATCACTGCATTGCAGGTGTGTGGGGAGGATCTGACGCCCGGCTTTAGGAGTGTCTCGGATACTCCATCATCTTGGTGGTGACATGTCACTCTAAGGCCATTTTGACAGTCACCACCTCCTCCCCCCATCCCATGCCAAAAGCCCCTTCATATGATTTTTTACGATCTGCTTTTCTTTTTCTTGCCTCTTTTTGGTTTTTGTTGTTGCTTTCCCTTTCCCCTTTCTCTGGGCGGGAATTCACATGCATATGCACAGGGAAGCAGCATCCCTGGGCTGCCATTCTTTGTCAGTGTCTCTCGGTTGGCCTGGGTTGCCATGGATGAACTGTTATAGGGCATATTGATCCGAACTAATGCAGGCATTTAAGCATAAAGAGGGAGCTCGGTGCAGAAAATGTATTCTCTCACAGTGTGCAGCCCCAATCACCATCCGGCTGCTTGCTAGCATATAGGGGCATCAGCCTTCATTCAAAGCCAACAGCTCAGTGTGCCGTTTCGGCTGGTTGGAGCTGCCTGGCTGCCGTAGTGCCCGAGGACGCCTGCCAGCAGGGTGAGATGACCTCTGGCTGCTTGGTCCAGCTTTGCTGCACGGGGGGCACACTCCTCTCAGAAGCTGCTCCCTAAATCCTCCCTAGCAAGGCGAAATAGGACACCGGACACAATGGCATAGACAAATGCAGGCGGGATCCTCATTCACGCCAGACTGGGGTTCTCCCACCTTCGTGAGTTTTAGGCTCAGCTTTGGTGAGGAAAACCTAAAAGTACCATGCTCCCCCTTTCTCTGAGGATGTACCCTGAGGGAAGCCTGGGCCTGCCCCTCTTAGTGTCGGGTTTCTTTCTGGTCCTGGATCTCCTTGCTGCGACACAGGCTGTGTTGTGGTGTTCCATGGAAAGACTGAAGACAAAATACATCTTCAGGGGATACCGAGGCCTGCCCTTGAGGTTCTGGGTGGACTATTAGAGCAAGTTGGTTATTTGGGGCCCAGGTGACGTGAGGCTGCCACACCTGCTTTTAGGTGCTGCCGCAGCTCCAGACTCGGTGACCCAGGAAGTCGGGTTGCCTCCCCAGGAGCACTGGGAGGCCGGCATCCACAGCTGCTGCCCACGCTTCAGATGCTTGGGAACCTTTGGGAGGGGAGCAGCCATCAGGGGAGGGCTTTGTTTTTTTTTTTTCCAGTCTCGCCAACTGTCTTGTGCCTTTTAGTTCTGGTCAGACCCGGCATGCTAATCACCTCTGGGTCAACCCCAGGGCAGAAATAAGCAGAAAACCCTTCTCCAGTTTTTAGTTCAGTGTGGAAAACAGTGACTTACGATGTTTCAGCCTTGCTGAGGACTTAGAAGCAAGTCCTTTACTGGTCAGAGATTTGAATTCACCCGACTGCTCCAATACAAAAGCCTAGGTTCGGTCTTTGCATACACACTTTTTAGGGAGTTTATGTTTTATAAGACGAATGTAGCTGATTATTATTGTTCTTTTTAACTGTGGTTCCCAAGAAAAATGGCACAGTAGAGAAGGGGATGTTGCGTTTTGGACAGTTTGGGGTTTTTATTAGCATTGTCGTGGTAGGGAGCATGCTTGTCTCATTTTTGGATTGCTACCCTGGGCCCGTGAACTTTGCTTGAGGATCAATTAAGCATTCATTGCTCCGGCTGATTCTTTTACTTTTTACCTTTCACCTTTATTTTAACAACTACTCAGCAAGCCCAAGGTAACGCATTTCAGCAGGAAATTTATCCAGATGATCTTGTCTCTCCCAGACTCTAAAGGTCTGGTCTAACCTACATTCTGGTTAAAGGAATTGAATTTTATTCCTTTGGAATTGACACCCACACGACTTAGGTCAGTATGTTGCTGTGCCTGAAACCGTCTGGAAACTTTTCTCTCAAAATTCTGTTAATCATCATCATAATTACTGATGTCCATACAGGGCTCTACAGTTTCTCTGGCTCACTCCCAAACATCACTACTCGTGGCCTACACAGTGTTCAGAAAGGGTTCATATGAGCTCAGTTTTGGAGATGAGGAAACTGAGGCCTCATCATGTGGAATGACTTGCCCAAGGTCACAAGGCTGGAAATGTGAAGGCAGCCGGTCATCTTTCCCAATACATTGTTTGCCTGAAGCTGCGCCCTGAAGGATTGATGTTGGTAGCAGATGGCGGTTTTGTGGTGGGGACTGGCTGCCTCTTGATTGTGTTCGATTGTTTACCCTCCTACTTTTATCCCTTGCCTTTGTTGCTTGCCTCTGAAGAATGTTTGACCAATCACCAAAAACCACGCCTGATGCCAATTTCCTTTCTCCCAGGGTATCATATGGCCAATTTGGTGCAAACACTTCACTTAGGTAGATTTTGTCCTCTGTGAGTCGAGTGAGGAGAGTTTTTGGTTTTTTTTAAAAATGACACTGAGTTCTTTGTTGACTTACTCTCTTTTATCTCTTTTTGAAGAATTTATTGACCTAAGGAAAATTTTTAAAACTGCTTCTTTTTTCCTGTTGTAAAAAATTTCAGATCCATGCCTTCTCTTGCCTCATCAAATACTTGAATCCCTTTGATTATATATTTGCAACATAGTAGTATACCATGTGCTTTTACATTTCCAGTGATGCGGAACTCATCACTTCCCAAGTCTACATATTCCACCTATGGATAGCTCTGGCTGTTGTGTTGTTTATGTCCACCTATTGCTTTTATATTATCTTCCCCTTGGGACTTCATAGAACAAGACAGATGCTGCTTCTTCCCCATGACTGCCCGTTGGATGTTTGGAGACTCTGATCATAGCCCCTGGACTATGATTATCCTCATTTGCTCATGTAAGGTGCTTATCTGCTGCTTAATCATCTTCTCTCTCCTTTGGATTTACTGTATACTGGGTTGCAAACTCTAGTGCCTTTGGGTGCTTGGCAGATAGAAAAAATGAGTGAAGCTGGCCGAGTAAGATGATTTGTGGTAGTTGGTCACCACTTCATTGAGGGCAGTAGAAGAAAGGGTGGTGATGATTATGGTAGGCTTGAGAGCATGTGTCCTGTCCAAATGGAAAGTCACTACTTGGGTTCAGCCTGTTGTTGCCATTTAGGAATGTAGGCCTGACTAGATCTTTCAATTTCTCAAGAGATACCAGAAATCTAGATGAAAGCTTTATGCTATTAAAGATGTTTTTCCAAGGTACACCTGGCTGACTCCATTGGTAGAACATGCGACTCTTGATCTTGGGAGTCATGAGTTCGAGTCCCAAGTTCAGTGTAGAGATTACTTTAAAAAGTTTAAAAAAGTTTTGTGACTCTTGATCTTGGGGTTATGAGTTCAAGCCCCACACTGGGTGTGAAGATTACTTAAAAATAAGATCTTAAAAAGAAAGATGTTTTGCCAAATGCCCCTTCAAAAGATCATACTATCAAAAACCTTCTTCAAGAGTGGTAGCAAGTTCTAGATGAAGGTCTCTGGATGTGGTCAGAGAAAGAAAACAGCTATCACCTCCTTTATGCTGGATGTAATGCTTCTACTAATATAGCCCAAAGGTTGAATTAGCCCTTTCACTGCCCGCCTCCTCATTGTACCATATCTTTTATATCTGCTGTATTTTTCCAATCCACTAGGCTAGGAGTTTTGTCAGAGAAAAGAAAATGAAATGAATTTAATAGGACTTGTTTTTGGTGACCCTGTGCTGGCTCCAGATGGACTCTGCTTGCTGTCTGAGGTGCTTACAAGTGTCCCTTTATGAATCTGCTCAAGAACTTTCCTTGAGAGTGACATCACATTTCTCTAGCCTGGAAATGGCAAGCTATAACTTCTTTTCCCCTTTTGAAAATCAGAATAACATTTGCCCATCTCCAGAGTTTTGGCATCTATCCTATTTTTCACAATTCCCTCAAAGATCACTGATAGTGTTTGGTAATCTTATTTGCCAGAGTTCCTAGTATCCTGGCTCTAATTCATCTTGCTGTCAGACATGATGATCTGTTCGGCTTTTATTCAGAGTTCCCATTTCCATTTCAACCTAATAGAAAATTGAAATAGAAACACAGTGATTGACTTTAGTGTTTTGTTTTTTTATTATGCATCCATAGTCGTTTTAGGCCATCTTCTTAAGAGCAAAAGTCTAGAATTTGGGGGAAGAAGAGCAGATTTTTGAAGACGATCACAGAGAAGAAGTATTTCTTTACTCATTCATTTATATATGCATTCAATAAACATTGATTATCTACTTTGTTCTTAGTGTTGTGCTGGGGGTTGTGAGAGATGCAGAGTATATGATATATTCTTGGTTTTCTAAGATTTGTCTTGAAATAGGGTGATAAAATCAGTGAAGGAAATTTAAAAAACTCAGAACACAAAAACTTCTAGCTGAACACCAGAATGAGTTTAGTTTGAAAGAGATTATGCCATTGCATGAGTGGACGAGCTCCTTAGGAACCCTCACTACTCTCAACAGGCTCCAAGGAGGAAAGGACGCTGGGTTGGGGAGACACTGGGGAGTAGTAGGGACTGTGGCTGATTAGTGAGCTCCCCTAGAGGAGTCAGCTGCTGCTTGGCTCCAGTCTTCACTGCCAGGCAGGGTATGAGCCCAGAGTGGTCAGTTCTTTCAGTGTTTCAAGGGCATCTTTATTTTAAAACAAAATGTCCTGATTTTTATTTTTAATTTCTAAATTTTTAAAAATTTTACATTAAAAACATTAAAACATTGGGTTGTCTTTTTTATTTTTGAGCTGTAAGAGTTCTTTTTTAAATTAAAGGATAGGGGCACCTGGGTGGCTCAGTCAGTTAAGCTTCTGATGCTTGATTTCG